ACACACACACACGCACCCCCCCACACACACACAAACAAACACCACATCTTGCCGTGCTGACCACGCCCAGTTGTTTATGTTTTTTTTCTTTTTTGCGCGCGTGGCAACGTTATTTGTTCATCATATCCGTCAACACGTGCAAATTGGACCTTGACACGCATATCTAGAGGCTTGCACAATCACAATCACACACACACACACACACACACACACACACACACACACACACACACACACACACACACACAATCACACACACTGTGTCGCGTACCTTTGCCTTTACCCCTCCCCCACTCCCTTCAGTCAACCCCACCTTCCCACCTTCTGCCTGGTGCACATCCAGCTCACAACAGCAACAACAACAACAACACAAGCAGCGCCACCACGCAACCATCTGATTTATGCTGTCGGCTGCGTCTCTCCACGCGAATGGAATCCTCGTGTAACATTCACAACTTTTCTTCTTAACCAACCCGCCCATACACCCCATTACCCGCCCCTTACCCATTTCCCCCCAACCCGCCGCTACTCTTTGGTGCTGCGCGGTGTGAACTTTGTGTCTTGGATCCAAGCTCCTGGTAAGCGCTCGCTCGCGGTCGTGTGCATCTGTGCGCATCTGTGCGCATCTGTGTGTATCTTTGCGCTTCTGCGTGGATACACACGTGTGCGTGTACGTGTGTATCCGTGACAGTCAGTGATGCGAGAGAGCACGCGTGAGTGCTTCTTCTTCACGTGAGTGCTTCCTCCACTTCTGGCCCTCCATATCCACACACACCTGCGAACGCGCGCACGTGCGTCGTCAACATACCCCCACCATCCTCTCCAGCACAACCATACACTAACAGGCGCATGTGTGCGTCAGCCTCCACTGCACTCCCCATCACAGCTACTCTGACAGATGCACGCACGTGCGCCACCCTCCACCACGACACCCGCACCACACAGCTACACCTTCACGCACACGTGCATCAGCAAACATGCTAGCACCACCTCTCTCCCACCCTTCTCCCACCATCACCACACGCGAGTGCGCGTGTGTGTGTGTGTGAGTTAACCCAACTTGAGGCTCACAGACAGGCGCAACTAGCGTACGCGCCGTCTCTGCTTCCCTTTGACTCACATTGTGCCGATATCATGCGCGTGTTCTATGTGTGCGTGTGTGTTTCCATCACTTGTCTCCTTCCCCGCCTCTCTCGCGTCGCTTTAGGGAACCGATACCGCTGCCCCCTTGGCGGCCGCATTGTGCGCTGTCGCCTCCTCAGCACCGCCACCACTGAAACTGCCACAATGTCGCCCCACCCGAAGCGCCCCAAGCTCTGTTCCTCTCCCGTGCAAGAGGAGACACAGGAGCAACAGCAGCAGCAAGGGACGTCGCAAGACCAGCAACAGCAGCAACAAGGCCAGCAGCAGCAAGGGACGCAGCAGCAGCAGCCGCAGGAGCAAGGCACGTCACAAGACCACCACCAGCAGCAGCAGCAGCAGCAGCAGCAGCAGCAGCCGGGTCCGATGGCAGGCGTGCTCATGGGCGATGCCATGGATGAAAGCGACGACTATGACGACTATGACGACTATGACGACGACGGTGACAGCGATGATGACGGTCATGGCAGCGACGGCGACAACGACGACGTCAACGACGACGACGACGACGACGGCCTCACAATGCGTGACGTGCCTGTCGTGACCCAGCCTGATGCGCTTCTGGCCGCACTGCGGCAATCGCTGGCACCCGTGGACCGCGCACTCCGCTCTAACCACCGCGGCCGCAGCACACCGCGGGTCAAGCAGTCCGAATCACCGCCCCCGGACGAGGCCTTGAAGAGGCGCATGGTGCGGCTGAAGAAGAACACCGCTGCACTCGGCGCCGGCGACCTCAAGCGGAAGGAAATGGAGGACCGCTTCCGCGCCGACGAGCGCGACGGCCGGCTGTCGAGCGAGCCCGTGTATGGCGCCATGGCAAGCTGCATGCGGCCCGTGACACCAGCACCGCGCCTGTTTGAGCTGGCAGACGTGCGCCGCGTCCCACGCACGACGCGCCGGTGCAAGAGCGAGCCGCGAGGCAACAAGCCCCGCCTGCACTTTATGGGCCGTCCCCGACGCAACTCCCTCTGAGGTGATCCGCGCTTGTGTATATGAGGTGTATGTGTGTGTATATGAGGTGTGTGTGTTGTTGTTGTTGTTGTTGTTGTTGTTGTTGTTGTCGTTGTTGTTGTTGTTGTTGTTGTTGTCGTTGTTGTTGTTGTTGTTGTTGTTGTTGTTGTTGTTGTTGTTGTTGTTGTTGTTGTTGTTGTTGTTGTTGTGTGTGTGCTTTGCGTGTTGTTGTTGTTGTTGTTGTTGTTGTGTGTGTGCTTTGCGTGACCCATGTTTCAATTGTGTTGAGCGCCTCGCGCCCCCGCGCCCCGTCTCTTCAACTCACTGTTCTCACACCCCCCCCTCCCAAATTGCCCATCTGGTGTATGATCTGCATGCGGGAACAGTGGCCTCCCCCCCACATGCGTACATATGCGTATGACTCACGCCTCCTTCGCCGTCATCACGATGGCTCCTGGCTGCCGCAGCATTCACCTCCATTCAGCCAGCCCTGGCGTGTGTTCCTGCCGTGCATGTTTCGCGTGTGCATTTTTTTTTGTGTTTTTTGTTTGGTGGTGTCGTGTTGTGTGTGCGTGTGTGTGTGTGTGGATGTGATGTTTTTGCGGCTGCGGCCTGTTTGCTGTCCACCAACTCCACCTCCTTGGATCTCTCTCTCTCTCTCTCTCTCTCTCTCTCTCTCTCTCTCTCTCTCTCTCTCTCTCTCTCTCTCTCTTCTACATCTCTCCTCACCTCTTCTCCTCACCATTACCATATTTACGTCTCCTCCCCCGTGTGCGCGCGTGTGCACTTATGTATTCGCTTGTGCTCTGAGAGCTATTGTTCCTCCTCCCTCTTCCCCCTTGCATCCCTTGCACAGATGGTTGCGTTTGTAACGCTGCCATGTGTTTGCGAGGACACGTCCCGTGTTTGTCACCTCACCCCTCACACCCTTCCATCTTTGAGAGCTTTGTGGCTGTGGCTGTGCCTGTATCTATCTGTAGGCGTGTTGGTGTTGGCTACGCAGCGCCGCGATCGTCTTGTTCGCTGGCGTGCTTTTGTTCGCTGGTGTGCTGTGTTCGTTGGTGTGCTTTGTTTGTGTGTTTGCGTGTTTGAATGTTGCCAGAAAAGCGTGCGCGCTGCGTCTGTTAACTGTTGGAGAAATACAAAATCCAAAAAGGAAGAAGCCTGAACATGGCGCAAGACAACGGGGTGGTGCACACACATACACACTGGTAGGCGGAGTGAGCAAGCCAAACATGGACGCAGACAGACACAGACACAGACACAGACACAGACACCGACACACACAGACACAGACACACACAAAGGTTGTGCGTGTAAGACAGCAGAAAAATGCATGCATGCACCGGGTGCGATGGAAAGCGATGTGTGCCGACCATAGCTGCTCGGTCGTGCAGGTTGACAGCTGTAATCGAGGGATGCAGAAGAGAACGTGGGTGGCAGTAAGAGAGAAGCGGAGCCCAGCAGACACACACACACACACACACACACATGTCAGTCGAATAGATGGGCAAAGGGTGCACAGAGAGACAGAAAGTGAGGGAGAGTACATGCGTCTGGATTGTGTGTTTGCGTGTGCGAGAGAGAGAGTGTGTGTGTGTATGTGTTTGTGCTTGTTCCAGGGAACAAAATGCAACGGGTTGTGCACAGAAACAGCAAGTATGATGTGCAGCAACCACAAGAGCAAACACACACACACACACACACACACACACACACACACACACACACACAAGCGCACAAGCACACACACACACACACGCACAAGCGCACAAGCACACACAAAGGCACACACATAGACACAAGCATGCACACCCTGACCTTGGATGGAGAACGAGTCGACGAGCGTGTGTGCGGGAAAGAGGAAATCACCCGACACATCTGGGGGTGATGCACGCCTGTGGGGTTGCGCAGCGAACAAGGGTGCATATCTGCGCAGGCAGTGGCTCGACGAACCACGCAGTGTTAATGTACACAACAAGCCCTGCGTTTTGTCGACAGTTGCATATGTGTGAGTGTGTGCGTGTGCGTGTGTGCGTGAGTGCGTGCGTGTGTGTACATGCATGTGAATGTGAGAACTGGTTGTGGAGGGAGCGGGCATGGGGCTGCTATTAGTGGTGAGAGTGCTCGTCAAATGTGGGCACAATTGAATACAAGAATGCACAAGAATACAGCCACCAGCAGCAGCAGTGACAACAACAACAACAACAACAACAACAACAACAACGACAACAACATTTGTAACTACACAACAACCACAAAAAAACAACAACAACAACATTTACGCCCGTACAATTACGAATTACATTACCGTTATTGTCAACGGAACGGTCCCGGGCTTTAAAACCAGTTTAAAAAAAAACGGCAATCAAACACCTTAAACCACTTAACCAATTTTTACTATAAATTAAACAACAGCGTATGCCAACTACGAACAAC